TTCTGCATCCTATCAGCGTACGCTAGCCGCTACGGCTGAAATTCCACTCGCGGGAATTTATGCAGGCAAAATATTGTTCCCATCACAATTACCCATACGGATGGTGGGATTTGGTAGAGCGTTTAGGGCAGAAGCGGGAGCACGAGGTCAAGACGCAAAAGGGCTTTATCGTGTACATCAATTTAGTAAGGTTGAGATATTTTGTTTGACCAGACCTGAGGAAAGTGATGCAATGTTGAATGAGATTGTTAGCATACAAGAAGAGATATTCTGTGAATTGGAATTGTGTTTTAGGCATGTACGAACTTTAATAAATTTCTGGTGATTGTTTAAAAACAAGAAAAGTTACATTTATAATAAATCTAGGATTTTGGACATGCCTACATACGAACTTGGAGCTAGTGCATATCGGAAATTCGATATCGAAGCTTGGATGCCTGGACGCGGAAGATGGGGAGAGGTAGATTTTAATGGTTTAAATATCATTTTATTTAATTTAACGCGTCTTTTTCTACAAATAATCTCCAGATATCCTCCGCCTCGAATTGTACAGACTATCAATCGCGCCGCTTAAACATCCGATATAAACCTTCGATTTCTTTACAAGAACAAGTTGGTAATAATGCAAATAATATCGCAGGACAAAAAGCCCAACAAACACTGCACACGGAATTTGTTCACACACTGAATGGAACCGCAATTGCGGTACCAAGAATGATTATCGCAATACTTGAAAACTTTCAAAGGGATGACGGGAAGGTGACAATACCAAAAGTGTTAAGAAATTGGATGTGTGGAATGAAAGAAATAGGATGATCAAATATTTATTAGAAGATAATATAATTTTCAGATGCAATTCATTAAATAAAGTTGAAAAGACATTTTTCGAGTTATTGTTCAACCAGGACAACTTCAAATTCTTTCCTGACGGAATTAAAACACTTTATCCTTCTTCCCTCCTGTTCATGGAAAATAAGCAGTGAAATAAAGGAATGGCGAATTCAAATGTAGAGATATTTGACAAAACAAACCTGCTGTGCAATTTTTAAGTCTTCAATGGTAATTACACTAGGTGTGATTTCATCAATATTCATCAAGTAGGCTCTCATTACACCAGGTAATAATCCTAAATCCATCAAATGTAAGCCGAGCGAAGTTATTTGAGATGTAAATAAATTTCAAGGCCGCGTACCGCATTCAATCTGTGGGGTTTCCCATCTTTGGTCACGGGATTCCACAGCAATATTAGAAATTGTGCACTCGGTAATTTCATTATTTTCATTATACATTAAAACGTCAAATATTTCATTGTCTTTCGTTTTGTTTGGGCCGGGAAGCAACGGAAGACCTGCCTAAAAAGCGTGCATACATTGCGTGAAATAATTTTCGTAAATGAAACTACTACGTCACTTACTCGAATCTTGGCATCATCATAGGCTTTCCTATTGGTCGTCTTATGACGCAAAAAGATATTGTCAGAGGAAGTGTATTTTTTATCTAAAACGATTTTTAGCGGTTCTAAAATTACAAAAATAATTGTGCTAATTCAATCATTGTTCAATCGATTCAAAACAAGTAATAGTTTAAAGCTATTTATTAGTGAACCTGGGGTAACAGAAGATGATGAGTTTGGCAGGACAGTGCTTGCGACTTTTATGATTCCATCTTTGTTAACCGTCAGTCTCACCTAAAATTTGGATTTAATAGCGAATGGAATAGCAGCACAAGGATCGATTAAATTACAAAAAACGTGCCCTTTGTTTAACTTCCTTTCCTAACTTCTCAACGCTTTGCTGTAACTCTTTTTCGACAACGCTTCCAAACTCCGAACTCGTGCAATTCTTAAAAACTTTGGATTTTGAATTTTCAGAGAAATATAAGGCGGATTTTATTAGGCGTTCCAAATGTTGATTCAGAAGAAAGAAACCTGTGATCAAGTTTTATTATCAGATTAAACGATAAAAAAATAGCCCATAAAAAAAAAAACATTTTTCAGGTAGAGATTTCTCGCAACCGTTAACTTTGAGCAAAATCACTACCAGAGGGCGGATCGTAAAGAATTGTTTCCAGAAGTTCGAATTCCGTGTCATCCATGGTTCCTCGATCCACCGTGATATCGGCTATGGGATTTCTTTTTATCAAACATAAGTCCAACCCGGTTGTCCAATCAGGATTGACTTAAACGATAAGTAAATGGTAATTGCAAATGAACCTCCCCAGATGATAAATACGTCAAAATAAATGGCCTTAACATATCTTTTACAAACATTTGAATGCGTATTTATGCGATCATATGATTAAAGATGCGTCAAATATCAATATTAAATAATGCAGTGATTAATGTCTGAAATGGATTCTACAAGAAACAATGACTGGTCATCGACATCTTAGTCACTTTTTTTTTGAAGAAAAAAGTTCGTGAATATTACTTTAAATGTCATGTGATCAGTTCGCGTAATTACCATTGTTTGGATCAGTGATGCGTCAGAATTGACTCATTCATTTCCAACTCTTTCTTGATAACGATTATAGAAACTAATGTACGGTACATTCATTCACTTCGCATGAAAATTTCACATATTTCGCTATCCACACGAACTAGAGAACTGTAACTCATATTTTTTATTTTCATAAAAGATACGCGTAAAATGGACTTTTACAAGGATAATTCACATTCTAATAATGACCATATATATCCGATATTGCCAAAGAAAGACCTGCCATTTCGTCCGTGGAACGCGAAAGCTTTGGAACTGAATGTTGAGGTAAGAGTCTTCAATTTGTTCACTTTCTTGAATTCTAGCAAATGTGTGTCAATTCGCGTCCCACAAAATAATATAAGGTTGCGGATCCGACGAGAAACACCGATGATCGTTCAATATTTGTTAACGACAAGTATCATTGCGAACGATTCCCGGTTAATCCTGAGAATTCCAAAATTTCCGAACGATATTGCACTCGCAGCATCGAAGTGGACACTGTTGTTGAAAAGGAAAAGGAAAATACCAAATTTTCTAAGAGAGGAAATGGTTTTCAAAAAAATTTCATGGACAAAGGAAAGCAGCAGGTATTATTCGATTGAGCATATAATTTTACAATCACTTAAATTTATCCTAGAACAAGTTCAACGATGATTAACGATCACTTGTAGATCATCAACGAAGGAAGACCTCGAGATATCGGTTGCGATTACGCCAAAGATGATTGTGAAAATTCAAGGTCGGGATCCAGTGAATCAAGAACAAAGATATATACTAACTCTTGGGAAATTCCGGCGAACACCATGATTGCCGAGGTTGATGAAAAAGTATGTTCATTATATTCTGCATACCATGTTTTTGATTGAGCATTGTGGTTAAATCTGGTAAACAAGAATGTTCAACCTAAAATTTATTGTATTGAAACTTTTAAACGTGCATTATTTAAACATTTTCTAAGCAGATGATGGAACCCATTCATGACAATACAAGCGCCTTCTACCAACAGACAAAACACATTGATCGTTACCACCACAAGTTTTCTGACGCGACTGGCAAAAAAAATCAAAAAATATCAAGTAACAACAGGTATTTTTAATTTTACATAAAACGACACATCTTTATTATTATTTAAACATCTCGATAAAATTTTACTGTTATTCATTTATTTTAGTTTATCAAATGAAGAGCTTAAAACCTCTTCGGTCAAGAATCAAGTCGTGTTTGAGGGATCATCAGATGGGACAGTCACTTCAAAAACGTGGAAAGAAGTAAACAATAAAAACCTGGAATGGAATCAACCTTGTATCCCACAGTATTTAGAGAATCTCAAAACTGAATTGACGCTCGACGAGGGTAAAAATGATTGTGCAGACGATATCTTTCTAACAGGAAATGTTAGACCTGGGTGTGATGATGTGAACAGAATCAGCAGAAATGAATGTGATCATAACAAAGCTTCTCAAGAATTTCGTAAAGCTAAGACTTATCTGGCAGGTGAAAGATCGACCATATCGACATGGTGTCAGTCTGATGTTTTCCAGGTTGCAGATAATGTTAGACCTGCGTGGGGAGATGGGAACAAAAGTAGAACAGCAGATCAGGATCGGTCACAATTCCTTCGAAAATTTGATGTGACTAGAGATGACAGGGTTAATGAGACAGTATGTAACGTTAAGTCTGGTTGGGGAGATAAAGATGAAACTAAAAGGTCCGAATGGAATCAACCAAAAGTCTCTCGTGTGCTTGATGAAATTGAGAATGATTGGGCAATCAAAAAAAATATCATATCAAAGCAGGTTGAGGCTGTAGATGGGTGGTGTAACAAAGAGAAACATTTAATATTGGATTCAAGAGAATTCAAGGACAACGAATCTTCCAACTTAGTAAATTACGAAAAGATTGAAAAGAAAAACTGGAGTTCAACTATGAGAGATGTTAGAGGTTTATCGAGTGACAAGAAGCAAGGTTTGATGCGAGAACTCAATGTTGCTCATAAGAAAGCAGATATTGAAAAATGCGATGAAGAGGAAATTGAAGTTGGTTGTGATAATTTGTCGATAAAAAATAATCACCATAACGGCACCGAGGAGATTCACAAAACTACCAATTGGAATAAATTAACCGGGAAATCTCCTGAAGGTTTAAAAACTCACTTAAAAACAGATTGGAATGATGCGAGAAGGCAATCACCAAATGAATATGAAAAGAACTTTGCATCGAGTAAACAATGGTCAAATGTAGCCCGGAGAACGCCAAAAAAAGAAATTGGAGAACTCATGGAAAACGATTCCCAAAATGATCAATTTGAGAAAGATGCCATAATTGATGTGAGAGAAAGAATCGATAAGATGATTATTAATCCTGATGTTACCGACAACAAAACCCAATGCTTAAATCCAGCTGAGCAATCAAGTTATGCGTCTCGGAACGAAGTTCCTGAAATAAAAGTGAATCAACTAGTGTTTGACGGTTTGAAGTTTGTACCCGAGCCCAATACTCTTGACGTTGAACCTTTGATCAACCTTGGGTCTCCACGTCCATCACCCGCACATGTTCTTCCTTCATCATCAAAATTAGAAGAGGAATTAAAACAAATCAATTTCTTCGAATATTTAAAACAAGAGATGGAAAAAGAAGCTAACGAAGCGAAAAAGAAAAGTCAGGCTCCGGGAACGGTATGAATTACATTCATCTTATTCACCCAGCCGTTGATAGCGTTTAGAACCTGCGACTTTCTGTATGATTCAATTTATTATTTTTGTCATATAGTCGTTTCGAAAATCAAGTTTCTTGAAGGAGTTTGACCCCTTATCATGAAGCCAACCATGAACGAAGAATGTGACAATTACTCGATAAAGTTATATCAAGATTAATTCTTATTTTCAATTTTATTATTTTGCTTCCAGTACGCTTATTCGTATACATTGTATACCTAAATGGTTTAATCCTGTATTGCTGAAAATACCTCACGGCTGAAAAGTTGAATCAATAATTCTACAATAAGTGATTCAATCGTGAATGCGAATCAAAGCAATTTGTGCAAATCTAAATTCGAAAAAGTGGTACGTTAAAGGATTATATAGTGAATGTGATGTGATAATACCTTTTGCTGATCCATGCCGTTTTTGATCGGAACTAATACAGTATCGTAGTTAATATTGATGTATATACATGATACTGTACATGATATATACAAAGTCTCTCATTCGAATCAGTAATGTCGAAGCAAAAAAACGCTCAAGAGACTTCAGTCGTTCGGTGAATAAAATCATCAAATGTTAAACGTATATTATCCTTATTAACATCTTGACCAATGATTCGCATTTCTTAAAGGAGCACGATTGATGTTTCGAAACTCGAACCTTACTTGCAAGCTAATTTGCCAGAATTTGAGGCACCTTTGGAGATTCGTCAGTTCAAGTTCGGACAAAGCAATCCCACTTATCTCTTAATCGACGCCAAGTATGAATCTAAGTTTCAACTTTTTTCTTTTTTTTTTGTGCAAATGTGTCTAATTGCAAATTCTTTGCAGCAAGAAACGATACGTTCTTCGAAAAAAACCTTCGGGCGTTCTTCTTTCAACAAAAGCCCACTCTATCGAACGGGAATACCGAATACTCAATGCTCTAAGTAGAAATACTGATATTCCGGTTCCAAAAGTATATCTCCTTTGTGAAAACAATGAAATCTTGGATACCCCATTTTATGTAAGTGGTCCAAATATTTTTGTATCTTGATTTCCACTTTGTAAATACATTTCGTCATTTCCGACTTAGGTGATGGAGTTTTTGGAAGGTAGAATATTTGAAGACTTACGACTTTTGTCACTTCCCCTGGAAGAACGTAGGCAATGGTGAATAGAAATTTCTTTAGTAATAATAAGAAACAAAAGTGCAAGCCATTTATCTTATCCCTGACACACTCATAGTTGGTATTCGGCTATCGAGACGCTTGCCAGACTTCATTTGGTTAATTACAAGGATATTGGCCTTGAAACATTTGGAAAATCATCAGGTTTCTACAATCGGCAGATTCGTTCGTTACTCAAAACTTCCGCAGCCCAAGCTGCGGTTAAAGATAAAGACGGTAATCAAGTAGGTCCCCTTCCGAGGATTGACGATAGAATTCGATGGTTCAAGAAGAACGAAGTTCCAGACGAAACAACCATAGTGCACGGAGATTTCAAAGTATACAAGCCAGTCATTATAATCATTCGCATTCCTAAATTAATCAAAAATCTATCATCGCATTTAAATTTTTAACAATCAGCTGGACAATCTAGTTTTTCACCAGACGGAACCCAGAGTCATTGGGATTTTAGATTGGGAGCTTTCAACCATCGGACATCCGCTTTCCGACCTTGCAAATCTGCTGATAAACTTTTACGCCAAGGATCTGTCCGGACCCTTCATCGGACTGCGCGACGTGACCGACTTACCTATTCCCCCGGCTAATGAACTAATGCAATTGTACTGCAGAGAGGTTGGAAGGCCCTATCCAATACCCAACTTTGAATTTGCCATAGTTTTCTCATTTTTCAAGGTGTATATTCTTTCAACGGTCTTTATGCAAAGTTACATGGTTACAATTTACTTTACTAACATATACGAAATTTTTTATTAATAAGTTAGCAGTCATCATCCAGGGAATAGCTGCCCGAGAAGCGCTCAATCAGGCAAGTTCTGCTGAAGCAAAATTATATGCATCTTTTTTAAAACCAGTCTCGTACTTTGGGTTTGATATTATTGACCGAGGTGACTTGAGTGATAAAAGCAAATTATGATTACCGAAAGTTAGTTGCGGTGAAATTAAAAGTATAATAATATAATCTAAATATTTAATAAAAACTTGTCATATTACGCTACATACATCAAAATACTGTAGTCTTAAAAACATAAGCAATATGAAAATTCTTGCTAACAATTTAGCATAACGGTTATGCACGTTTTAGTGAAACTTTTGAAATCACACACTTGACATGTACTCACCAAACAAACTAGTTAATTATAAATCCTTGTTTTTTACATAAATCAATTCACTAAATTTACGCGTGTATAAGACATACAGTATTTACCCACTAACCATATTGAAAATGCACAATTTATTTCTGGGCCTGATAAACAACAATCCACATTAATTTTGAATAATTAACCAAGAACATCAGATAAGAGTCAATTATCGACAATGAATCTATCGAAAGATAATTGCAAATAACCATAAAACGTTAATACTGTATATCTACAACTGTAATCTTCTGATCTAGAATTTCTGGAATCCGCCTTATGCATCACAATTTTATTGTTTAAAAAAAAATTATTAAAGTTTTCACTTCTATAATGGTTGGCTGATATGTTTCAAACTACTTCGATCTTTACTCACCATTTTTAGTCATTCTCATCAGAACTGCTCTTATTTCATATGTGCTGAATAATTAAGATAATTAATGAAAATACGATCCGGGACTTAAAATATCTTCCACCTTTTACAGTATCTCTTAATCTGTTATCCAACAACCACTTCATTTTTTTTGCACTCAGCCCCCGTTATATAGAATAACCTAAGTGAATTACATGCTTACGAATGAAATAACAACAAATGAATCACTGCAACCATGCAGCCTACCTTTACAACAATATCCTTATCGGCGATCGAATATAACAATATCCTTACCAGTGATTAATTTTCCATATTAACGTAGCCGATCACCGACTGGTCTCTTTCTATTTAATGTATGATTTTTGCCAGAATCACAGAGTGCAATCTATTATTATTAAATGACTTTAAACAATGTGAATAATAATATTATTAGTACGTAATTGAATTGCAATCGTGACACGTAATAATTTGTAATTACCAAGGTTTTTTGTGTCTACTATAAATAAATGATGAGATTGTAACGAAAGAATTTCTAAAGGTTTTTTCTTGGAAATTCTTCTTTTTGGTTTACTTTTCAGTGAATATGTCCAAAACAAAAGACGTAATCATAGAGACCAGTTATAAAACTACTGGCGTTTACTCCCGCACTATCACCGATGCATTCACATCCATGGAGCTCTTGTCGAGTCATGATTCTAATACTTTCATATTCAGTGATGATCGTATCAATTCAACCAAAGCGGAACAAAGTAACGTCCATGAGAGACTATGGAGCTATGACTCCGATGATGCTACGAACCCTGAATCCGAGAATTTTAGTAGCCCCGAAAACTCCTTTTGTCGCGGTAGAGATAGTAGTGGTACCGAGAATATGGTGGAAGTTCGTCACTATTATAATGTAAGAAGGACATTTTGCATAATCCCAGCAATTGAGGATGCAAGTAAGCTGTTAAATTCAGTCTCTGAGAACTTGACTGAAAAGGACACCTCCGGGACTCGACCGACCAACGGACTCGGCATTCTCATGAGAAATGGATCCGCTAATTCCGATATCTTAATAATTGACAAAGATCGTAAACGCGGTTCGACCCATGAAGAATTAGTAGGTGGAAAGTCTCCTACCAAGGACAGAAAGGTTGTTGATATTTCAACTAATGGCGAAATGCACAAGGGGCAGAATAACCTCATCAGAAGTGATGGAGGTGACAGCGACGCAAAGATAGTCGAAAAGATTATCGGGCATAGCTGGAAAGCAAATGTAAACGCGAATTCATTGTTCTCAAAACGGTGGGGCTCCATATTAATACGCTATTTATATCCTTTTCTCCTTCTGACTTATTTTTAGGGGCAACTGAAATATTTACTTATATCGGAAAATGTTCGAGAACCTCTTTGGAAAAACGAGTATCATCTGTAAGTATGTTTTATTTTACATGTATGGTATGATAATTCAGGATTACATGCTAATCGAAGTAATCATTTTTCGATAGTATCAACTCCGATGAACTTATTCAAAATTATTGGATTCGTGTCGGTAGATTTCAATTGGAATCGATCAACCATCCCTTACTTCAAATCTTAAACTTTCCGGATTATACACAAACGGGTTCGCTTCTTTCTAATGCGCATGTAAGAACATCGGAAATACTATCGAATGGCAATGAGAATAATGCTGAATCACGTTCAGGTGAAGTTCTCTATGAAAAAAACATCAATTTAAACACCAATGGAAAGGGTTGGAAAACATTCGGCGAAAAAAACACAAGCATTGGACAAGATTCCAGTGATCACGAAGTAGAAATTTCTTTAGACATAAAAGGAAATGGAAATGCTTTAAGTACCGACGTGAGTTTAAATAAATTCGATCAAGAGAATTCTGCCATTGATAGAGATTCACAAGAGTATGTGAATCACGGGGAAGCTACTATAGAGGATTCCTGTCAGAACGACAATAAAATGAAAGATATGGTGGAGGTGATTCCGAACTTCGAGAAGGTTGTTAAATCTGGCGAAATTTTCGCTTCTCAAATGGATTCTCTCCATATCAATTCCCATATGGACAAGACCCGAGAGGAATACTTAGATAACTTTAATATCTCTCAACATGAGGATTCTCAAATGCATATAGATCAATATGTAAATGCTGATCACCAAGAAACGAATGAACCTAAGACCTCTCGGAAAACTGTGTCTTCCTGCGTAGGTTCTCATCAACACGAAATGGATGTCGAGATGGAAATTTACAGTCCTGAATATGAAGAAAATGAATCAACACTTGTAGGTTTTTGTCAAAATGGACACTCTCAAATAACCAACCAGAAAGTGTCAAAGTTCGTGTCCGTTCAAAGTGCAATTGTCGAATCGCACTGTTGTAATCTTTCGTGTGAAATCATATCGAGGAAAGAAAACCACACGAATACTGAAGATCACATGGTGCTTAA